TGCCATCCTTCTTCTTCACAAACAACACCGGTGCTCCCCACGGTGAAACACTCGGTCGAATGAACCCCTTAGACAAAAGGTCCTCTATCTGCTTCTTCAGCTCTGCCAACTCAGCTGGCGCCATCCTGTAAGGCGTCTTCGATATCGGTGCTGTCCCCGGCTCTAACTCAATCGTGAAAGGATCAGACCGAGATGGTGGTAATCCCTTCAGTGACTGAAAGACATCCTCAAAATCCTGGACAACCTCAATATCTCCCATAACAACTCCAGCTCCTGACTCAGACATAGAAATCGTCGCCAGATACGCCTCACAGCCCCGCTCTAACAACTGCTCGGCCTGAATAGCAGATATCACAATACTCCCGGAAGTCGGTCTCACTCCCTGATAAACCAACCTCCCTGCATCTCGCTCGAAGACCACTCTACCTCTGTAGCAATCCAGATGAACTCTGTAGTGTGACAACCAGTCCATCCCGAGAATAACGTCATACAGCTCCACCGGACTGATGACTAAGTCTGCTGGCATTGACTGCCCCGCAATCTCGATCTCGACTCCTCTAGCACGGCCCAAAGTAGACAAGAATCCACCTCCCGCCACCTTGACCATGCCCGCGCTCTCGCCCGCGCTACTCCGGATGCCACTCTTCTCGGCACGCTCCGGTGTAATGAAGCAATTCGATGCTCCAGAGTCGAATAAAACGTGGGACTCAAAACCGCCCACTAACAAGGTCATTACACACATGCGTTGAGAACCTCACAATTTATCACAGATAAATGAACAACACACACAACAACAACCATTATGCCCTCGATGGCCCGCCACCACAAATGTGCATCTCCACTCAGATAGTGGACTGCCAACTCAACCTGGTACTAAACCAAAATCTGATAGACTGGAAATTCCGCTCCAATCTCTGACGCCACTCTGCCGCCTCTGGCTAACTCCGCCCTCAAAGTACGGCGTACCAATCCTCTGCATGTGCCCCACATATCCAAATAGGACGGCACCATCAAACCCACAGCCTGCGGCTGAACAAATCCCGCAGCCCTCTGCTGCACCTCTGCCACTGGAGGTACTCCCGGAGCCCCCTGTGGAACCACTGGCGGAAAACGAGCCAATAACTGCGTCAGCAAACCCACCACTAAGTCATCAAGACCCTGAGCCGGAGCACCACCCCACCCGGAGCAGCCCCCGCTCCCAAACCAACACTCGCATCCACACTGGCCTCACTCGCCACGGATACCGACTGGGTCACCGACGCAGTCGCCACACTCGGCACCACACTCTCTCCCGAATCCGCCGAAGTCCACAATCTCGGCCCCGGCCTCTCGCTCTGCCACCACGGCCTCGAGCACCGCGCCCTCTCGCGCCACAACCTCTAGCTACTCGTCCATCTCACTCATGGAACCAAAAAGAGCACACTAGAACACGCAACCAAAACTCAAAACAAACATAAACTCACCGCGGAATCTCTTGTAGCTGAAGGGGATGATACTAAAGCCTAGCAATTCTAACAGTCCTAAAACCGTCTAGGCTCTGATACCAAAATGAAACAACCAACATTTTTTTTTTTTTAATAAATATTAATCAATTCTAGCGAAGGTCTTAAAAATAAATTAAATAAATAAAATATCAATAACAAATAAATCAGCTCAGCGGAAGCAAATAATAATTAAACAAGTCTAGCAAAATAATGCAAAACAATAAAACAGTAAACATCCTATCATCCCCCTCTTCAGCCTTGATTCCGCGATCACACAAATCTTTTACCTGCAACACATTGGAATGGAGTTGCGTAAGTATTTAATAAATACTTAGTGAGGCAATCACTCTGCCTACGAGCCATTTACGCAATTTACTAGATATTTAATAATATTTATAAACTCCAATAATTATTAAATACCATTTTCCAATTATTAAATAATTTTTAATAATTAAAACTCAATTTCTCAATTATTAAATAATTCTCATAATTAAATAATAATTTTCCATATTTTAAAATAATTAAAATAATTATTTTACCAATTAATTAAATAAATAATTTAATTAATTAAATCCGAATTAAATCTAAATTCCAATTATTAATTCAATTAAACCAATTAAATTCAATTCCATAAACCAATTAAATTCAATTAAACCAATATAAACCAATTAAATTCAATTGAACCAAGATAAACCAGAATCAAATCAATTAAATTCAATTAAACCAGATTAAACCACACAAACACACAATTCATCACATAAACAACCAAAATATCATGAAATAACAATTAAAACATAAACTCATCAAGAACAACCACAAACCAAATCTAATCTAGCAAATCACGGACCCACAGTCATGCACTCACCTTGACAATGATTGAAACTGAAGGAAAGACAATGAACAGTGCGAATCCCGACGATGAACAGTACCCGATGAACAGTACCCGATGAACAGTAACCCGATGAACAGTGCCGATGAACAGTAAAATTCGAAAATCTCTCCAAAAACTCAACTTTTCTCCTCTACAGCATCTGAACTCGAAAATTCTCCAAAGAGAAGACGGCTGCACTCTTTAAACTTGATTTTAGGGCTTTCTCCACTAAACCGACCCAAACCAATTCACTTAAATTGAACCGACAAAATTCCCAATTTTTATTTTGGTTTATGGATGTTACAATAAATAGAGAAACAGAGAATCACTTTCTTCGTGATTCTCTGTTTCTCTATTTATCATCTTTATTCTTTTTTTTTTTGTCTCCCTTTGTACATCGTTGAACTTCCGTTTATAACCGGGATCAAAAGTCAACCAAATATCCAAGAAGTCTAATAGAATCTCTCCGATTGTCGCTTATTTCTCTTCAGGATACGATCCTTGTTCGGAAAATCAAAAATTCCAACGACAGGGTTACGGTTTACAAGCACAAGGATAAGTCGAAGAAAAGGCTTCAGGTTGTTGTAGGCCCGCAAGGCTCCACCGTGGAGTTTGTTGGCTCAAACTGCACCGGCGAGCAAGCAACTAGATAAACTTGTATGTATACACTAGTTGTTCTTGATAAAGAGAGTCAGACATTAAAGATTCTACCAGTTGCTCACAATAAGGTTGAACAATCGAATTCCTTGTGTTATTTTGTTTTTTTGGTAGGTAGGGGAAGGAAATGTTCTAATTAATGAGGTTGAAAAGAAGTGCCATCTGTGTTTCTTGGTGACCAAGTCTCTTATCATTAAGGTATCCAATGTATATACGCCATTCAAGGTATCCAATTCAAGTGATGCAGGAAAATAACCACAACATAAAGTCAAAATGACTGTGGGAATGAATCAAATATATATATGGAGTTGCTTTCGATCACTATGTTTGATTAGTGCTATCATTGGTCATATACAACTTTATCACTGATGGTATCATTTCTCTTAAGCATTTATCTTTTGTGTTTTTTTTGTTTTTGTTTTCGCGGTTGTTGATATTCCGACTAATATATGGAAACGCAAATAAAGAAAACAACTCTAAAGAAGAAGAAAAATATATGGTTGTGTCTCAAGATGAGCCACCAACTAAAAAGTTGAAACTCGAGCAAGGAGCGGTCACTGCAACTGTTTCGGTCTTTTATGCTATTTAGCATTGACAGAAGTGGTGAAAACGATGAATGAGGAGTTTCACAGTACTAGGGTGATTGGTGAAGCGAAGACAAGTTCTCTTGGATTAGATCAACCAAAACTTAATCCAATTAACTCATAGAGTGTTTTCGATCCTTGATGTCTCTGAAACATTGAATAAGTTGTAGCTTGTTTCTTTCACAATCAACTTTGTTCATCTTTTCCATACTTGGTCATTGGTTTATGGTTTTGCTTATCTGCAAGAAACAGAGGAAACAGATTTGAGATGGACAAGTTCATGAAAAAGGGGATATTGGCCTTTGAAAGTACAAGGCAATGGGAGCTAGAGAAATATATAGGGATTGGCATCAGTTCTCAGCGAAGTTCGACTTTGTATGTAGACTCAGATTAACAAATATAATGTTTTAAGCCAAAGTTATATTTAAGAAAGGTCAAGAAGGACATTCGAGTTAAGGATCCATTCGGATAATAATGTTTCAGACTTTCAGTGACTTAATATTGAGAAAAGTCATGCATGAGAATACGATCCTTGGAATGGGTAAAGCTTTGGAGAGTGACTACCAAATAAAGTCACTACCAAACAGGATTAATCTCAAGAAAAAAAAAAACTTAATTAAATTTATAAAGAAAATACAGAAAACTTAAAAAAAATACTTTAAAAACTTAAATAAGAAAATTGAAATCAAATGACAAGACAGATTGACCAGTAAAAAAAGAAATAAATTTTACAGTTTCCAAATAAGAAATCAAATCTGAAAAAATTGGAACATATCATTTATAAAGGTAATATTTTATTAGAAATGATAAAAAAAAAAAAATCGAAATATGCCATTGGATATTATTTGTATTTAAACATTTCTCAAGTTTTGGGCCTATCTAGATAATCAAAGCTAGCTCAGTTTAAAAAAGTTTCAAAATTAAAAGAAGAAAGACAAAAATAATGAAATATATGAATCTTTTGTTGTCAAATTAGTAGATTTTATTCTTTTTTTGTTTGATAAAGATTTTAGTAGATTTTATTCTTCATTTCATTATGGATTTTCTTTTTATGTAATTCATTTGAAAAATTGAAAGACGCTCTCACCCAACACCCGCGTCTTCTCATTTCATCTCCCTCTTCTATATATTTCCTCACTTTCTTTCTTCCTCTCCACCACATCTTCTCTCTCTCTCTCACTCCTATTCTCTTTGCATTTCTCTCTTTTCTCCGGCGATGTTGATTCCGTCCCGGTTTCAGGAATCGGCGGCACTGAATCCAACGGCTCAGTCCTTGTAGCAGCGATCCGAGCGAGGCAACTCGTTGGTGAGTGGTAGATCCGATGAGGACGAAGATGAGAAAAACAACCAACGGCTCAGTCCTTGTTGATGACAATACGGAGGAAGAGAGAGATAGCCGTGCTCATGTCCAACCAATTAGCCTTACCTCCTGCCGACAAAGAAGAGGTCGTTATCATCAAACAGCCATCACAAGAAACGACGATGCCTAAACCCAAGAGAGCTCTACTCATTGATCTCAACGAAACCTACGATGATGACGGGTCTTGCTGGAGGAGGACGACGACAACAACTACACACCAAGTCAGCCGAAACCTCCTGTTGATAGCAACGCAAGGCAGGAAGAACAACCTTTTCAGATTGGAAACACACCGAGATCTCCCGACTTTTTCGCATTGCCTCAGCATCATGCACCTTTTCGGTTTGGGAACTTTCCTCCTCCTCCTACCCAAGATAACAGAGCTAGCTCCAACTACGGCTATGGCTCCACCCGATTATCTGGTCAGTGGCTTGGGAATGTGCAACCTATGGCTAATCATCATAGCCCATATCCATCCCGTTTCAGCCCAAGATAACCGCCAGAAGCCTGAAACGGGGATGGATATGGGCTCTGGTGATTAGCCATAGGTTGCACATTCCCAAGTCACTGGCGGTCGTGACCAAATAACCGGGTGGGGCCGTAGCTATAGCTGGAGCTAGCTCGGTTATCTTGGGTAGGAGGAGGAGGAAAACTCCCAAACGGAGAAGGTGCATGATGCTGAGGCAATGCGAAAAAGTCCGGAGATCTCGGTGTGTTTCCAATCTGAAAAGGTTGTTCTTCCTGCCTTGCGTTGCTATCAACAGGAGGTTTCGGCTGACTTGGTGTGTAGTTGTTGTCGTCGTCCTCCTTCAGCAAGACCCGTCATCATCGTAGGTTTCGTTGAGATCAATGAGTAGAGCTCTCTTGGGTTTAGGCATCGTCGTTTCTTGTGATGGCAGTTTGCTGATAACGACCTCTTCTTTGTCAGGAGGTAAGGCTAATTGGTTGGACAAGCACGGCTATCTCTCTCTTCCTCCGTATTAGCTGCTCTTCGAGAAAATCTCTACTGTACCATCTGCCTCCAGTTGCCTGAAAGGCCAGTCACGGTTCGTTCTCTACTTCTCTCTCTCAAACTCTTGCTCTCTCTTTACTCACTCGTAGATTAAATGACTCTTATGGATCGCTGGAATTTTAATCTTGTTTTTGAAATTGTATAGTTGTTTATGTTCTCATTCACTTATTAGGGCTTTCTTGGGGTTTAGACTTTTAAATGAGACATAAATTAAAAAAGTAAAGTTACTGTTAAAATATTTTGCATGCAGCCATTATTTTAAGAATCTTAAACTAAAAGTCCTCAGCAAATTTAGTGAATTCCGCTCTTAAACTCCAAAAACTGTTCGTGATACTTAATTTAAATCCGCAGTAAAACACACACTTTAATTCTTGATTCGGTCATTACAGGAATGAGACCCTGATTGTGTCATTAGTACTTTATCGTTTTTCCAGTTTTTGTATATTTTGACAAGAATGATGATTAATAATTAACTAGTGTTTGTAATTACTCTAATAAACTAATCCTTATTTTATAAATGATATGAGAATCTCCCTAATCATGACACATCAGCATGACATTCTTGTTAATCACATTAATTAAAGGTTATTTTTAAAATGTTTTCTCTTTATATATATTAGGGATGTCTTGGCTATTTTGGGTGTGGACTGTTGTCTTGGTAATTATACATCATTTTTAAAGTTTTAATTTTAAACCATAAAAATTAAACTTTAAATATTCAAAACTAAACCCTAAATTCTAAATACTACAGTCTAGTTCCTTAATACTAAACCCTAAACCAGAAATACTAAATCCAACCCCAAATATTTAAATTATAAACCCTTTTTAATGTTTATAGCATAAATGGAAAGTATGAGAAGAAAAATAAATAGTGATGGTATGGAAAGAAAAAAAATTTGACTATGCTTTTCTTTTATAGTTTTTGTCAATGTTTTTAAAATCGAACCATGCCGAATACTTTTGGGTGTTCGATCGGGTTCAACCAGGATTGATGATATTTTTAAATTAGTATATATACATAAATATAAATATAAATATAAATATTATCTGAATAGTATTAGTATTAAAATACATGAATAGCTTCTAAATATCAAATCAATCATTTCAAAATCATAATGTTAAAAAAAAATAACAAACTAAAAAAAGTAATAATTATATAAAAACTAAAAAAAATGTTGTTTAATTAGAAAATCCGGTTCAATTGGTTACCAGTTTTTTTTTTTTTGTCGAACCCAAATTAATTGGTCTAACTATCTATGAGTTTTAGTCGTAATATGGAAATATTTCTGATTCATGGGTTAAGTTGGTCCAACCACAGGTTTGGACCGATTTTAAAATTAATAACATTTGTGAAAACAAATGGTAAAAATGTACTAATATTAGGAATCAATTCATCCAAAATCATTATTGGATAAAAAATGGTTTTTCAGATAACAAAAACCAAAATCAAAGTAGAATCATACAATCAAGGCCTATCGTGGGAAAACCAAAAAAAACAATCAAATCCTCGCATTCCTCCAAAAAAACCATAGGAAGAAAACAAAGAAACCAACCAAAAGAAGAAAGACGACAAAGAAGAGGAAGATGGAACCGAACTACGATCGGACCAGTGAGTTAAAAGCTTTGGACGAGATGAAGATCGGAGTGAGGTGTCTCCTCGACGCCGGAATCGCAGAGGCAATGAAATCACTAGGCGCTTACACAATGAAATGGAGCAACATATTATCCAAGAAACACAAACTTAATACTTGAGATTATACACAAATGATAAAACATTACTTCACTTAACTACATATTTAGTTGCCAAAATTCTCTACAACACCATGTTTAATCAATAGAGAATCAACAGTCTCGGTTACATCATCATTAGACTTTAAAAATTAGACCCCTGGAAGTTATAAAACAATACAGAAAGGAAGACAATCAATGAGATGCGGAACTGAATGAATCAAGTGAATGGCTTGACGAATTCAAAACCTTGGTTTAGAAGTGATCCAGTGATCCACAGCTTCAAGTTAGGCAAGTTTAAGCTCTGTTCAAAACATGTCCCCTGTTTCAAGCAAAACTCCGGTAAGTAAACGTAGATTCTGGACTTCAAAAAAGAAACATAAAGAAGTGGCACAAGTTGGTTTACATCTAATGTATATGTTAAGAGGTATCTGTCAGAAGAAGGAGAGCTTAGGTTTGAGTTTTGCACTTGAAAACTTGTGAGAGACTCCAAAGACTTGTAGAGTGATGGAGCAACACCATCTCCTTTGTTACACACCAACCTCACATAAAAACCTTTCTCCTCCACTTGAATCACATCCATCTATCACACAAATTCACACACTTTTAACAATTAGGGCATAAAATGGTAACACAAAACCTAATTAAGTCAGCAGAATCTGCCAAATTTGATAGCTATTTGGAGTAAATCAATTACCTGAATGATTTTCTTGGAAACAGGAGGATTGATACCGCGAAAAGGTTGAGTCTTGAGAGCATCTGAGACGGGTTCTTGGTACCCTCCAGTAGAGTTTAGAGAAGCTTCAAGGCCCGCGATGTCGGCTTTGAGTTTCTTGGCTTGTGATTGCAGTTCTTGAACATACGACACTGCATCTCCCACTATGGAAGCTTTATCCATCTAATACCACAAATCAAAAACCATGCCTTTTCCATTAATGACACTCTTCAAAGACTTGATTTAAGAGTCTAAGAGATTTAGTTTTTGTTTTACCTTAGTAATGTTGGGAACAAGAGATCTCAAAGCGTAAAGCTTATCCTTCATACGACCTCTCCTCCTTCTCTCTGAGATCAAAGTCCTTGACCGATCCGTTTTCGTCTTGCGGCTTCCGTCGTTGTTCGTCGTGGTGGCTGAAGAATCATCGCCGTCGTTGTAATCGTCTTCGCCGCCGGCTCTAACACTCTCGCCGTCAAAGCTACGGAACGATTCGGCGACATTGGCGTCTAAGTCAGGCAATTCGTCGAACAGGTCGTCGACAGGTGTTGGGATAAACTGGTTCTCGTCGATGAAACATGGGCTGTTCTGTAATGGACCAAGATCGAAATCGAGAACTGGGTTTTCGATGGTTTGATCTCCTCTGATGAGATTTATGAACTGATCGAAGTTTGGATCGACCAAGAAATTGTGTAGTTCTAGGTCGTGTATGTTTGAAAGAGCGTTGACTCTTCCTTCCATTGCTGTTTTTTTTTTGTCTGTTGTCAAAATGAATAGAAGGACAAAGAGTGAAGGTTTCTGACAACGAAAGAGAGACAATATGAGTTTATTATATATACAGTCAATTTTTGTTTCCCAGTGTTTTTAATACCAATAATAATTTAATAAAAATTCTTCTTCAGAAATACTATAAATGGACCAAAGAACAAAAATTTGAAGACCAATATAGGCATTATCATTTTTTTATAACCAAAATAGTATAAATAAATTTTGTGAAAAAATATTAAATATCATATAAAATTAAAATGTTATGTTTGAGTTCTTTTTTTTCTTAAGTTAGGATTTAGATTTTGGGGTTTAGGGTTCAAATTTTTGGATTTAGAACAAAAAAGTTAAAATATTTTTACATTGAATGTCAATCAGTTTTGATCATAAATTTTTTTATAATGCTATATTTTGGTCATACTAAATTTTGTTTGGTGCAATTTGATCATTGTCTCGTTTCTCTATAAGTAAACAAACATAGTTTAATTAGTTTAACTTTGTAAGTTTCTTTCCTTGACAATTCTTCTTTTTTTTGAATTACTAAAAAGTTTTGGTCCAAAGCTGTATATTTTTATAGACTCGAAATCATAATATATAATATTGGTTCTGTCCCAAGCAGCATTCGAATATGTGACTTCTAAGTTTTGCACTCCATTTCATATCAAAATGAGAAAACCATATAAAGAACAAAAAAGAAAGAAATATACTAGTTTTGTTTAAGTTTATTCCGTTAACGTCTTGGTAATGTCATGCATGACATAAAAAATGTTGTAAGCAAAAATATATAATCCTGTTGTTAGCAAAAAGAAATAAGAAAAAAAAATGTCATGCATGACGATCGATTATAAGTATATAAATTGATCCCAATGATTGGTTAAGTTTGTCGTGTCGCATTGACAATTACTTCTCCGACGATGATGTGGAAGTTAAACTCTAAAACAAAAGTATTAAATCAAACCATCAATCCAAATATGAAAAATGTGACGTGAATATTGGAACGAGACTTGAGCCAAATACATTCTATTAAAGGGACAACATTTTTCATATATAGATATATTTCTATATGTAATAGACAGTGAGAACAATTTTCCAAGAGAATAAAATTATCAATGTTTTCAGTGGTAATTCGAACCATCCAATTACACCTTGGAGTAATATTACGCACACTACTATATTGTACATAAAATTGCACAAACAAAACTTTGAACAAAAAAACATTTAGCAACTTCCACCGGATGTATAATTTTGTGGCCTTGCTTGTATCATATTATCTTTGATAGCTAAAAGTAACTAGCTAAAGGAGCACTTGCCGAGTTTGTATCATCCATGTCAAATATCATGAAACTACACCTTGAGACCTTTTTGATTATTGCTCCATTACTCTTCAAAAATATATGATGCTCTTTTTCGTCAATCTCCATTCTAAACAAAGAAAAAAACAGAAATAAAAGTTGACTAAATAATTGATATATATTGGATAGATAATCTTAAAATTTCATAAAAAATGACTAAATAATTATTATATATATATGGGATACATAATCTTAAATCCCACAAAATTGACTAAATTTTTTGTAGTCTCACAAAAAGGAAAGTTGAAACCAGAAAAATACTAAATAATTGAAATTGTCATTGATTTATTGGTGTTAAAGCTTTGCGAATCTAAGAATCAAAGTACTATAAGCTATGCAATTGTCTCGAAGAAAAAACCATTAGAGAGTTTTCCATGATAAGTTCAACTTGATAAACAGATTCCTTGACAGTTAATAGGAAGATAAAAAAAAGATTCATTGACTTCTATAATGGAATTAACAATGGTGGACCTTATATTTGAGCATCTAATTTAAAAAGTAATACAGTACTAAATTACTAATAATTGAAACAAACAGAAAAAAGTAATTATATAGGCTGTCCGGTTGGTATTCGATCCCATTTTTTTAGCATATGTCAGTGTACTATTTAATATTTTACATATATTATTAATATATATATGGCTAACTCAATTGTATGAACGGAATCAGAAGATAAGTTTATCCGTTCATTGTCATTTGTCAGTAACCTAATAACTTAACTTATTTATTATGTTTTTTATTTATTAGTTAATGAAGAACCATAAACAAACCGTAATAAAGGAAGTGTATGTGAGACTGTGACTCTGTGTATACAGAAAAACAGCATTTATATATATTTAGAGTTAAAATTGTTGGTTAATAACTTAATATATTGACAAAAATAATGTCTACTTCAGTTTTCTTGTATACAAAATGAATTGGCTCCAAAGTCGTGTATAAAAAAATATAATGTTTCTCTATGAAAAATGTTAGGAAGTGACGGTATATCCAAGGTTAGACCCCGGTGTGGACATCGTTATGTCCGATGACCGATGTCAGGTGGACGGGGTATGGAAGGAAACGGATTGTAGGGCTGGACTGGGCTGGTATTATTTCAATACGGATATGCAGAGTAAACTTATGGGCATGCGTAATCTGAGACAGGGATATCAGCACTTAAGACCGAATTAGAAGCACTTATTTGGGCCATGCAGTGTATGGTACGGCACAACAAACTAATGACACCATTTGAGACGGACTGTTCTGATTTAGTGAAGATGGTTACTACACCAGAGGAGTGCCCGCTTTTGCCATCCTACTTGAAGAGATCGCCAGATGCAAGACGAGGTTCACCTCATTTTCCATCATCCATATACCCAGGGCAAACAACACGAAGGCAGATAAGTGTTCGAGCTTTACCTACTGATGTGTATTATGTAAACTCTGTCTCACCAACTTGGATTCCCGAGTTGTTTTAGATAGAGTCGCTGTTGACAAAAAAAAATGTTAGGAAGTGGTTTTACAAAAAAATAAAAACAAAATGGTAGGAAGTGGCCATTGTTTGTCGACATCGACGAAATAATTAATTGCATACAGATAATCGAAACTAAATTATGAAGAAGCCTGTTCAATGCATTTTTGTTTTGGTTCCTGTCACAAGAAACAAAGGATATAGTAAAAATAAATAAATAAACTTAAGTACATAGATTAAAGAAAGAGAACATAATTAAGTCTTGGCCGGTTAATGACCCTATAATTAATCACTATATTATAATTAACACTTGTCAACTTATTAAGTTGTACTGTATGATATTTCACGTACAAGAAAAAAAATTTGGTCAACCAATTTATAGATTCCTTTTTAGCGATTGACTTGTTACTTGTTAGAGATATTTAACATTTGAGCAAATGATATTCTATAATTCTCAAAACCTCAACCAACGGTGTTATAGGGAAATGCATAGTAGATATATAATTAAATATGAGTATCCGCTTTAATCAATAAATAGAGTTGACAAAAAAAAAAAAATAATAAAAAATAAAAAAAAATAAAAAACCCAATAAAGGAGAAAACATTCATATCAGTAGGGTTTGCAGAAAATTATTTTAGCATATTCAAACATTGTTTAGATCTGACCAACACATTCTCAGTTAAAAAAAAAAAAAAAAAAAAAAAAAAAAAACAAAAAACATATAGCTAAGAGATTAACATCTTAAGAAGTTTGAATTTTTTTCTCTCATTTTAATATTCAATTAACCAGATTACGACATGTAGGATCGATACCATATGTGGGAGTTTCTCTTGTAGGCTCTCCCGCATCAGGGCTCCATTCTTTATAAGGTTTCTCAAGTAAGACCTTACCTAACTTATACTCCAATTGGAACGGTTCTGCATATTCTTCTTTGGTTTCAGTTTCCAAATCCAGTTTCGATTCCACCTTCAATTTCAGTTCTCAAATAAAGCTCTTGCTTCAATAGTACAAAGCCTAGAAGACAATGTCGTTTCATAAAAGAATGTGTAAGGTGTAAGGTGTAAGGTGCAATAGCTAAAAGCAGTATAATCAATTAATCATATAGCCTATAGGAGATGTATAACAAAATATGGCATTGGATATGATTATGAAACATAACTTCTCAAGTAATCTAATTTACGTGCTTCTTAACAAGTATATTTAAAATACTTATCCTACTATATAAAAGAAATGTCCCGATAGAAGAAGTATGAGACGGTCGATAAGTAAAGCCAAGGTGTACTGTAATGAAAAAAAACTGCTTTCGATGTGTTTAATTTGTGATATGTTTGATTGATATACTTACGGTAATGATAATAACTATTAATGCATGTGTAACGAATATCTTTCTCCATTATCAATAACGTTTGCACTAATCAAAAACTAAACAACACACATTAAGAACAATTTATCACTCTACAACAACCCCACGTCTACTGTCAAACAAGCATAGGGTTTGGAGCTCTAACCACAATTTGAAAAACACCAGTCTCTAGTGCATCTATGTAACCTAAACTCTAGTCATATATAATTAGCCTGGCTAATTAGTCCTATCAATGAAAGATGAATCATACTATAATGGGAAGATTTGTGAATATGTTCTATCAAAATGTTAACTCTAGCCCATAAAAACATTACTCAAATAATATTCTATCAATTCACAAGAACAAAGAATAAGAAAACCAATAGAGTTTTATCATTGTCTTATGATTTGAAAGGAGTCCAAGATATCTCTAGTCTCAAACTCTAGAATCCTAAGACAACGACAAAACAATAATTTTTGTGAGACTATATAACTAGAAAAAAAAACATGATTTACTTATAAGGGAAGATATGAGATTTCTATTTGACAATCAAAGTTAGATGAATAGCGTATATTTTAGACGGTAGAAAATTCCAATTCTGCCATATTTCAACTTTTCAGTACTCCAACGAGTGATATGACCTTTTGCAATGACCATTCACCATTTTAGAAACACAAAACCGGATAAATGGTGAACATATCAATAAAGTGTGTGTCACAGTGTCAGATACTCAGATAACTGTAACTTTCGGTTGCATTTTCAAAAACCGAAATGGCATTGGAATTACTAATAAAACCAACCTAACAAATTGACCATACCAATCAGTAACAGTGGTCCATTATCTCTCACATCACATCAAAACATTAATACACCTTTTGCTACCAAATTTTACTTGCATCTTTTCACTGCCCCCAAAAAACAACATTTAGTGCTCTCTCATCTTTTTAGGCTTTTGATGAAACTTTTTCCTCATACCAGCTTTCCAGATTTACAATCAATTGGAGAAAGTTGCCGCCACAAAAACAAAAAAAAAAGGGTCTTTTTCTAATTTCAAATTCTTGTCAAGACCCGCCTTAGAAACTTGGTCAGAGTTCCCTCATGAACAGCTTGAAGGCACTTTAGATTCGATTATAACCCTAGCTCCTGAAGCAAGCCTGTTCCAGAACACAAAGAGGTTTCAATAAAATCCAAAATGAATCAAGATAATAATGACATATTCCCTATCAGGATGTTCATGCTTATACCTTTCATCGATCTTGATCACCTTCTCCTCTTCTTCTCTGAAAGAATCCGGTTTCCTCAAAGATTTGGTTATCCTTTTACTGCACAAATCAGCTGCTTTAGTATCTTTTGATGAGTCTCTTGCCTTGTCTGAGACAGGAGATCTCATTGACTCACTACGTGGTTGTTCCTTGCTTATTAGAGAAGAAGCCTTTCTTGATCTTGGAATGTGTTTCGGGCCACCAAGTTTTGATTCACTGCTTTCTGCTACACCCATTTGGTTTGATGCCCTGAAATTTGAAGTTGTATCTGTAAGTTAAAAACCTTGAAAGCAAAGATCTTTTGGGTCTAGATGCTTCTCTCTTATCTAGAAAACATCAAAAACAAGAACCAAATGTGATGCAAGAAATCTACCTGTCACCATTGTAGGATGAAGAACGCTTAAGAGAAGCACTACCATCAGCTGCATCTTTCTTCTGTAGCTTAGTCTCGACCAAGCTCCCACTAAAATACTCTTTCTCCTCAAGTCTCAGGCTCATTAGACTCGGAGTCTCCGAGAAACGGTCAAGATCTCCAAGCATAAACGACGAGGAGAAGAAAGGAGAAGGAAACTTAGAGTGGTCAAACTTGGGCTTGTAAGTAGGTACAAGGCCAAAGTTGTTGTCCTTGACTGATATCGAACCGCAGGATATCAACTGCATCAGCATGTTGGATGCCCTAAGCCTAGGATTAGCGTGCATTCGAACATCTTCTTGCTCAAGAATCCTAAAACTATTCATCTTGCTAACATCAGCTCTTATAAGTGACTCCAAAGTATCAGTCTTTGCGCCTAGCGACGAGGCACTGTTGGAGAACGGCGGAGAGGCAGAGTTTCTTGATATCTCCGCGCTCTCCCTCTCTTTCTCCTCGCTCACAAGATTGTTTTCGATGGATTCAGGCTCTGATGACCCTTCTTCATCAGTTGAAACACCTCTGCTCAACTTCTCTAGTGGTGTTTTAGAACAATTGCCAACAGTTTCATCGGTTTGTGTAGATGCATCTGCGAGTCCTTCGCTCTTATAGACCTTGTACTCAGCCAAACACCAAGAAGATGAGTTCTTCGCGTCTCTAGAATCAGGAGAAGAAACAGAGCGAAGAGCTGGAGGAGAAAGCTCATCATCTTCTTGAGAATGCTTGTTATTAGTCTCCTTGGAAGACGAAGATGAATCATCCATGAGGCTTCTAGATGATGGTGGCTCCACAACTATCTGCTTCATGTTTTGTGTAGCTGAATTAGCAATTGGACTAAAGTGATCTGCAACAACAACATCATTCTTTCTTTTTAATAATTTCTTTCATGGAAAACAAAAAGATCAAAATGATGTAAACGGAAAAAGAGAGTGACCTGAATTGGATTCATCAAATAGCTCAGAGCCTTTAAGAACATACTCATTCCCATGAGCTGGGACAATCAAGTCATCTTCTGATAAGTCATGCCAGACAAAACCATTCCTATAGCTTCTGCAAAAGGTTAAAACAAGAAAACATTAAATCTGATATTTCATTGAAGTATAATATTGCTTCTTGATGAAAATTCAAGAAAAGGTATATTCTTGCGTCTTGATGAAATCAAAGAAAGATTATACCTTTTACTAGACCAAGAGTACATTGAAGCCATGCCTCTACCTCTAAGAACATTAAGCCTCTCAATAACATCTGCAAGAACAAGATGCGTCAGAACTTCTTGATTGTGCAAAGAAAGCATTATAAGTTATGATTATTACCTCTAAGGTATAAACCGTCTGGAGAAGAAATCAAGACTTCCATGAAATGAGGATGCTCGAGTTGACGATTCTTGGAGAGGTAATAAACAATTTGGACTTTCTTAATCTTCTGATGATACTTTGGAGATTTCTCTGTCCAGACTTTTGCTCTCTCTGGACTTACTTCTCTGTATTTCTTCATCCTCGCTTCCATTTTTAACCTAATTGGCTAATTCCGACATTCAGTTTCTTCTCTGTGTGTCAAAATTCTCAATTCAAATCAGATCTAGAGGAAAAGGAGAAAAAAGGGGGAAAAAAATCACAGAATACTTACTTAAACTAGCTTTAAGGATGAAGACGAAGGAGAGAATTCGACCAATGTAAATTCGAGTGAGATAAGTGAATTTATGCAATAAATGACATTTTTCGAGCAGTGGAGATTAATGGAGAGACAGAGAGACGACAGTAACAGTAAGGGAGAGAGAGGGAGAGATAGATAGAGAGAGAGAGAGAGAGAGAGATTAAGCCTTTACCTTATTTTCAGACAGCCTCTTCTTCTTTTGTTTTGTAATGAGGGAGAAAAAACACTGAAAATCACAGTGGTTCTTATTCGCTCGTGTCTTATTCTTCTTTTGTCGACTTTCTCATTCAAATCTCTAACTTAAAAAAAAAATAAAAATAAAGAAAGGCTAATTTTGAAGCAAATGTAACAAATAAATAATATAGGAATTTAAAATAGATTACACAATGTTCCTATTAGATATGGTACTTCGGGTTGGTCAGATTCAAGTCAGTTTTTCGGGTTTTAGGTTTAGAGATAGCCCTATGGAAATCTTGTTTTCTCCTTTAACCGTTTAAAATTTCCCAAATTTTTTGGTAATGGGAAGTTACAATTTTCCGTCCGAAATTATTTCTTTTACTCAAACATGTAAGAGAAAGTTCGGGAAGGTATATGATTTCCCAAAATACCCGTTTAAAAATAAAAAATAAAAAACTGAAAACTAGAACTCCCAAAATTATTTCTTATAAAATTAGTTTTTTAATAATCATATTTTTCCATATTTTTCAAAAATCTTCTTATTTTCCCAAATCTTCCCGTAATTTTCCGATTTATAAAAACTTAGGAAATTATTTTTTACTCCCAAATAATTCATGTTTTCATCCCATTCCCGTTATTTTCCGTTCTGTTGTAATAAGGAATACTTCGGGTAACATATATAGTTTCCAAAATTTCTCATTCCCGTTCCGTTTCCGCTATTTCACGTCCCAAAACCCAAAATGCATAAGGCTATTTAGAGATACAAAAAAATCGAATATTTTTGAATTTTTGTTTGGTTGAATTATTTTGGGTTCATGTCAGTTTTTGGATTGTATATGAAACCCGAACAATTTTTTTGGTTTGGCTAAATTAAGGTTTTTCGAATTTTTGGGTTTTCAAGTTTCCTTTTTCAGGTTTTGAAGAAAAACAATCCGCATTTTCTAAAAATCTATAAATCGATAAAGTATCTTAAAATTTAAAAATTATGGTCAGATTCAAATTTCGGGTAAGAGTCGAGGCCTAGTTACCATGATTTAAATAGAAGTCTCTTTGAAAAAATTGATGTTCACATAATCACATAAATATCATGTTACAAGAAAAATTCACGCATCCGAAATAGTTGAGTGAGTACAAAAACATTCAAAACATGATAAGGTTCTAAAACTAGAGTATTGTTTGCTTACACTATATATTTAGTTCTAAAACTATTACTGTGGAAGTGGAACCGTAATTGTAGAAGTGGCCAAACATCATCAGAAATATTAATGGGATCAGTAGGCCATTAAAAAAAAAAAAAGTGAGCCCTTTTGAAATATTAATCAACGGTCTAAAGAATGTGACTGTTTTGACCAAAAAAAGAATGCCATTTATGACCATTTTCAAGCAACAATCTCCAAGCTGATTATGTGGATAGATCATAGATATATTATGAGAAATTTCATGTTGCATCTTCTCTGAGGATAGATATAGCTTCCGGGGCTTCTCTTTAAAAAAAACTTTACCAACAAAAACAAAAAACTTGCAATTTAAGAAAAGCTTAAAGCGATTGTATATTTGCTTTCTCTTTCTTTGTTGGAAAGCTGAAATGGAATAAAAGCTCGTGCATGCAGATGTCTCTTGTTAGGTTTACGTGCATGCTTTTATATCTTTATCATAGGCCGTAATATAAAAATACAACTAAACCAAAACGGCAAAACCAAAACCAATTATGCCTGTGATGTGATGATTGAATTTGAACTCAAAATTTAGATATTGAAACAGATATTAAAAATAAGATAAAGAGTTTTCTGGTATTGATTCTATGTTCGTTCTCTCAGCTCTCAAGTTTCTTTCATTCTTTCACACACTCCCCTCCTTTCCTTTGCCTCTGCAAAATATTTTCGTGTCCATAACACAAATAATAAAAGGGCCAACCAAATAAAATCCTGAAACCCAACTCTTTCTGTTTGGGAAACCCAATTTCGTTAGTGGGCCTGGCAGGTCAAATACTTACGTCTCTGAGAAACACACATTTGATTTCGCAGGCTTAGCGGGTTATAACTATTACAATATTTTGTCGCTTGTCTTTTAAATTTTTACATTAGTTTTCAAAACATTTTATCTATTTTCTCTATATTATTCCTTATCTAAAGTAAAATAAAATATTGAAAATTTTTTTTCCACACATAAATGGTGAATATAAATGAGTTATTGTTTTATTCCTAATTACTATTTTGTTTAGTTTGATATAAATAACTAATGAGTTAAAAAGTAAAATTCAGAAAAACCGCATATTCAATCTCAAATTGTTTTATCTCCTCACCATTTTATTTCCCTTATAGAGAAACCGCCTCATCACCAACGGATCATTTGTTACTATCAGAGTTAATTGGAACACCACCACCAAAAGACATGCGAAAGTGATACCTCCTCCACCTACCTTTATCGTTACCGCCGACGATTTTAAAAGATTATCATAATTAAATAATCAACAAAACCCGCGCTATGTAACTTAAAAAGTAAAGAGATTTTTGTTAAAATCCAAATCGAAAACATATTTTAATTAATAACTCTATAAATTAATAAAATATTAAAGTCTCGACAATATTAATTAATAGAGTTTCTAGTGTATATACTATTATTCGAAGAGACTTTTGTAATTTGGGTGGTGTCTTGTAGTCCATCTTGCTTTTTTTTTTAAAATATCATTTTATTAAAAAACAGTTCAAACTTCCGTCGATACAAACAAAGAGAGAGCTGATTTTGCGATTGCATCGGCTCGAGAATTTTCGACTCTTGGTGTAAACACAAAGGAGATCAAAACTTATTTTGTATAACATCATTTTGGAAGTCATGTATTTATTTATATGGTTTTCATCCGGACATGAGTTTTAATTTGGATCCATTTTAAATCTCAATTCAGTTTTCAGATAAATTATTTTTCTGTAAGTTGTGGATCGAATTGTTTCGATACAACTGAAAAACAAAATTCATCTGCTTATAAAGTCTTTAGTTGGACTCAATGTCCCCAATGGATTTGTAACATATATAGAAGAATCATAAATTGATGATGCATCACAATATTGAACTCAGCCATTCATTTTTGGCTAATGTCATTTTGGGCCAATTAATCATTTTTTTGTTAAAACGAAACAGAACATAATAAGTGTTATGATTAGTTTATATGAAAGTCCATTATCGGCCCATATTCTAGAATGTTCTAACTTGTTCTCCAAGTTGTACCTCCTCTCCAAGGAAACCTTTCTCTTGTACTCCTATATAAAAGACTCATTATTCATGAATAAGATACAACCAATTCCTCTTCTCTTGTTCTCTCTTCTTACTATAACACGTTATCAGCACGAGTCTCTAACCATCAGCTTAAAACCCTAGCCGTCTAAGCTAAGAGGTAAGAGGAAATCAAATTTCCTTATTTCCAAAGATTAAACAAGATACAATGAATAATTGATATTATTTTGTTGATCTGTGTTTATCATCTTAATCCCAGAAGGATTTGTAATCCGGAAGAATTACAATTATAAAATTATTTATCCCAGAAGGATTTATAAAGAATTTGTATTGATTATTATTTCAGTTGCATATATATTATTCTTATTTATTTTTACTTGCTTCTCATATGATATTTGTTATTTTAATTGATTTTCGTAGATTAGTTGCTTTAGCTTATTAAGTTGAATTTGCTATTGCAGTTTATGGTTTCATCGTTTAATGAAAACATTGTTTATTGCTTTGAGCTATCGATTTGTGATCGTAACTGAATCATGCATATGCATACGTTTGAATATTATTAATCATCTTGATCTATTTTATTGTTGATCATATTATTTAATATTGATATATTGAGATTCTTTAATATTGATCTGTTTATAAAGTAATAAAGCATCAATATATCGATATATGCTTCTTTGATTATTGCAACCCTTAATTCAACTAGGACTTTCACCCGCGCACGCGCGGGTCTGTATCTTATATCAGTTTAAAATATATTTTTAATTTTTTTTTTAAACTGCAAAAATCAACAACTAAAATTTAATAATATTTCAATATCAAAAGTCTTGTAAAACAAAATTTTTAAATATATAATATATTGTTGAGATCAAATCTTGACATACAAAAATATTGTTTTGATCAAATCTTGAAATATATTTTTAAATATGTATAGTGAAATTCTTAAAATTAGATGTCAATAGTATTTGTATGTAACACGATGTTTATTTAAATAACTTCAATTCGTATGTTAGGACTTAAAATGCTATAAACAACATATAATTTATTTTTCAGTACATTTAACTTACACACCGTGTTATTAGTTTATAAACTTTGAGCATAATAGTATATATTTAGATTTTATATAATATAAATTATGTATATTCTTTTTATGGCTTAAAGAAAATCTTAAATTATTGTTTGTTCAATGTTGATTTTTTTTAGTAATTTTGTCACATTTTTTAGGCGTTATGGTATACATTTCTTTTTATAAGTAGTTTTATATTAATGTTTACTTGAATATTTCCGCCTTAAATCTGTTTATAATACATTTTTGTTCAAAAAATTTGTTAGTTACATATTTATTTAGAAATTGCAAAATTCAGTTAGTGTTTATTTAATTGCAAAAATGGTTATTAACTCACCTCTATCATGTTTCTAATCAAATCGAGTAATCATATTTGGCAAAT